CCCCCCCCCGGTTTTCCGGAGGGGGGGGGGGAGGGGTTCGAACCGGTAGTAACCCCCCCCGGTTTTCCGCCAGCAGCGGTAGAACACGCTCTTTCTAGTATCTGTGATAATAGTCAGGGGCCCCCATCAGGCTCTCCAGGCTCGCTAATCCGAGGTGGACCAAGCCTGAATCGCGATCTAACGAGAGGAACCCCCTGGAGGGTCTCGGGCGGTCCCAAGGGGTGGGGTGGCTTCCGGGGGGGACCCGCCCCCTTCCGCTTCCTCGACTTCTTCGGGCGGTCTTAGGCCCCGTCTGGCCATCGTCGGGCTCTCCAAGCTCGCAAACCCCAGTGAGATGGGCTCTCCAAGCTCGCCAATCCGAGGTAAGTCGACCCAAATCGCAATCGAGTCGAAGGGGAGCTCCTTCCCCTTGATCCCTTCCCCGCAGAAGGGGGGAGTCCTGGAGGAGTCCCGAACGGCGATGCTGGGGGGCCCCAAGGAAAATCCCGAAAGAGAAGGAGAGGGGGGGGGGAATTCCACTGCCACCCTCCTCCTACTCCTCATCCCACTGTACGTGTCTCTGCCCACCTTTTTGTTGCGTGCTTTCGGGATATCCTTCCAGGGTCGGCGGAACCGGCCATAAGCCCTTTGCCATATTCATCATCATCATCATCATCATCATCATCATCATCATCATCATCATCATCATCAGCAGCAACAGCAGCAACAGCAGCAGTAGCAGCAGCAGCCGCAGCATCATCACCACCACCACCACCAGCACCATCATCATCATCATCATCATCATCATCATCATCATCATCATCATCATCATCATCATCATCATCGTCATCGTCATCGTCATCGTCGTCGTCGTCATCATCATCATCGGCGTCATCATCATCAACATCATCAGCAGCAGCATCATCCTCATCATCATAACCTAACCACCATCTCCATCGCCACCTGCATCATCATCGTCATCATCATCATCATCATTATCATCATCATCATCGTCATCATCATCATCATCATCATAATCATTACCACCACCATCATCATCATCATCATCATCATCATCATTCAGCATCATCATCGTCATCACCACCACCACCATCACCATCAGAATCATAACTAGAATCAGCATCATCGTCATCATCACCATCATCGTCATCATCATCAACAACATCGTCACCATCATCGTTATCAACCACCTCCCTCTCATCATCACCACCATCATCGTACCCGCTGTCGAAATCATGATATTCCGCATCATCTTCGTCATCACCCTCCTCCTTCGTATCCTCCTCATCCTCACCATCATCAGAGAAATCGCCATCATCAGCATCATCATCACCACCACCATCGTAATCATCATCATCATCATCATCACCATCATCAGCATCGTCGTCATCATCATCGTCATCATCATAACCAGAATCGGAATCATGTTCATCATCGTCATCATCATCATCATTATCATCAATCATCATCATCCTCATCATCATCGCCATCCTTCTTCTCATCCTCATCATTATCCTCATCATAATCAATGGTATCGTCATCATCATCATCATCATCATCATCATCATCATCATCATCAGCATCAGCATCATGGTCATCACCATCATCGCCGTCGTTGACGCCGTCGTCGTTTTCGTTATCATCGTGATCGTCATCCTCATGATCGCCACCCTCCTCTTCCTCCTCCACCTGCTCCTCCTCCTCCTCCTCCCCCCCCTCCTGCTACTCTCCATCATTATCCTCATCCGTTTATCCCTCATCATCATCATCCTCATCATCCTCATCATCATCATCATCATCATCGTCATCATCATCATCATCAAATGCATCATCATGAGAGCCATCGTCTCTTGCAGTATCATGCTCCACCTGCTCAGCATCCTTCTCCTCCTCCTCATCCTCCCTCCTGTCATCATCACCCTGGTCTATCTTCTCCTCTTCATCATAATCCCTCATCATCCCTCCTGATGTCTCCTCCCTCATTCCCCATCTCCTCCTCCTCCTCCTATTCCTCCCCATCCTCATCCTCGGCTCCCTCATCCGCCTACTCTTGTCCTCCTCCTCCTCCTCCTCATCCTCATCCTCCTCCTCCTCCTCCTCCGTCTCCTCCTCCTCCTCCTCCTCCTCTTTATCCCCATCCTTACTCCTCCTCCTCCTCCTCCTCCTCCTCCTCCTCCTCTTCCTCCTCCTCCTCCTCCTCTTCCTCCTCCTCTTCCTCCTCGTCTCCACCTCTTCCCCCTCCCCGCATCCTCATCATCCTTCCCCTCCTCCCTCTTCCCATTTACCTCCCTCCTTCCAGTCCCCCTCCCAGTCCCCGTCATCATTGCCCTCTTCACAGTCGGTTGCCTCAGAGCCCCCACATCGGGGCACGCAGAAAAAAAATATTCGAGCGTGGACCCAGAAATGCACAAGAGGAGGTATGAAGAGAAGAAGGACGAGGTGGAGAAGAAGAAGAAGAAGGGGGATGAGGATGAGGTGGAATAATAAGAATCCGCCGGCCCCCTTGTGGGGCCACCAGGCTGTAGGCGCGAGGTTCGCAGTTTCCTGTACCAGTTGTAGCTTGTAGTTTCCAGTGTTACAGTTCTGCTTCTTGCTGGTTACTGTAACTAGTTGAGTTATTGCTGGTTACTGTAACTAGTTGATTGACCGCGCGAGGGGGGGGGGAGGCCCAAACCAGATTTTTAGCACCCCCTGGGCGCGTTGTCTGAATTGCTGGGGGGGCTCGAAATCGACACCCCTCACGCAGATCCGCGGGGTCAGGGTCCAAAAACACAAAGGATTTGCCACATTTCTGAAATTCGGTGCCACCCCTCACGCAGATCCGCGGGGTCAGGGTCCAAAAACACAAAGGATTTGCCACATTTCGGAAATTCGGTGCCACCCCTCACGCAGATCCGCGGGGTCAGGGTCCAAAAACACAGGGGATTTGCCACATTTCTGAAATTCGGTGCCACCCCTCACGCAGATCCGCGGGGTCAGGGTCCAAAAACACAAGGATTTGCCACATTTGAAATTCGGATCAGGGTCCAAAAACACATGGGATTTGCCACATTTCTGAAATTCGGTGCCACCCCTCACGCAGATCCGCGGGGTCAGGGTCCAAAAACACATGGGATTTGCCACATTTCTGAAATTCGGTGCCACCCCTCACGCAGATCCGCGGGGTCAGGGTCCAAAAACACAAGGGATTTGCCACATTTCTGAAATTCGGTGCCACCCCTCACGCAGATCCGCGGGGTCAGGGTCCAAAAACACAGGGGATTTGCCACATTTCTGAAATTCGGTGCCACCCCTCACGCAGATCCGCGGGGTCAGGGTCCAAAAACATAAGGGATTTGCCACATTTCTGAAATTCGGCGCCACCCCTCACGCAGATCCGCGGGGTCAGGGTCCAAAAACACAGGGGATTTGCCACATTTCTGAAATTCGGTGCCACCCTTCACGCACATCCATCGCAAGGCGTGGTAACCCAAACTGCGAGAACTCCCTCGGCCCTTTAATCGCAAGGTGTGGTAACCAAGCCCGTAAACCATACACGTCTTACCAATCGCCAGGTGTGGTAACCCCTCTTGTGATCAGTTGGTTTTGCTGATTGCGAATCGGCTTCGCATGAAGTTTCGATACTGCTTCACGACAGCGCCAAGGCCTCATGACTTAGCTCTTCCATGGCCCATTCTCCGAGAGAGGGGGCCGGCGGCAGGGGGCGAAGCCCTTACGGATAATAAGAAGAAATATAAAAATAATATAAACGCCTACAATATTACTAAGATGACGACATGCGTAAAAGATGTCGAAGAACAGAACGAGTACCCGTGCTGCTCTGAGCTTGTCGGTTCGATCAGGCCAGGAAACCGCCGTGCCGCTGAGCGATCTTTTCGGGGGAGTCGTGAACTACAAGAACGTGGCCCCAGGGACGGCATCGGGCAACCTGGCGGCCACGAGCACGAGTTTGACCATCCCTGTGGCGAGCTTGCGGTGCGATACGGTGGGAAACAGCATGAGCACGCAGCCAGGACCAGCATGAGCACGCAGCCAGGCCAGTCGAGCAACGGAGAGCAGAATGCATTCGGCTAGCGATCAAGCAAGCCAGAAGCTCAGGCTGGATGGCTGGGAAGGTGCGGGATAAGAGCAGGAAACAGCGGGAGGCAAGGATGCATAGGACCAACAGGGAGAAGGACACGCAAGAGGAGGACGCAAACATTGATGAGGGGCCACGAAAACGAGCCGCCTCGGGAGCTGTGTAAACGTCATAGGGAACGCCTGACGTCTCCCTTTATGGCGTGATATACCCAGAAGGCCAAGGCGAACGACCAAACAAGATGGCTTCGCAACTGCTGGCCCTGATGCCATGAGAGGACGTGGAGGAGGAGACAAAAATTTATGATGAGCAGGACGAGGGCCAATTGGGACAACGGCGGCTCTCCCGACTGGCCAACATCCGTTCAAAATCGGTCCCTCGACCCCTCCCAGGGTCCATCCTGACTAAGTTGTCGATGCGGATCCAGCGACGCAGGGCCTCCAGGAGCCAAAAAAAAACGAAAACACGAGGGAGGGCCGTCGTGGTCCCGACTGGTCCTCCTCCGATGGACGGGGTCGTGCCAAGGCCGAGGAGAGAGGCGAGGCGCAGCAGGGCTCAACCGAGAGGCGCTCGGGCAGGGCGCCACCCCATCACCCCGCGGCCTCCTCCAGCTCCTTTTGGGCCTGCTCCAGCATCTTCTTGCACTCCTGCGCGCAGGCAGCGCGGCGACGCAATGCCCTGGTAGGTGTAGTAGTGGTATTGGTAGTGATGGTGATAGTGATGGTGATAGTGATAGTGATAGTGGCAGTGGCAGTGATAGTGATAGTGACAGTGGCAGTGGCAGTGGCAGTGGCGGTGGCAGTGGCAGTGGCAGTGGCAGTGGCAGTGGGAGTGGCAGTGGCAGTGGCGGTGGTAGTGGTAGTGGTAGTGGCAGTGATAGTGATAGTGATAGTGACAGTGGCAGTGGCAGTGGCAGTGGCAG